TGTCCAGGATCTGGTTCTTCTGGTCATGATTCATACCTGATGACCACAGGTGAAGGGTGGAACATAGATGGACAACTAAACAAAGAGATTTGCCTTTTGTCTCAGCTCATTCTTCACCATGACAGACCAGAGCAACACCTTACACAGTGTTTCCCCAAGTTTACTTGCCGTGGCAGGGTGCTCATATCTTCCATGGTTTTTATCGACGGGGGATAGACATGTCTGAGTTGCGCGCTGTTTGTACCGTCAGTTTTTTAGCGGGGGGGGGGGGGGACTTGACTCAGAGGGAGGGTGACAAAGCGCTACCTCCATAGTCATAGCTTTTTAGCTAGTGCATCTGTATCTGCATCCGTCACCTTAACTACCTCACTAATATCCATAATGTGCAATATGATTGTGAAATACTTGTATTTTTTACTTTCATAGTGCTATTATATCTGTATTGCGTTACGTTTTTTATATTTTTAGTGTGTGTTTTTCTTAAGGCGTGTTTTTGCACTAAGAAAAGGAGTGGCTCTTAATTTCATTGTACTTGCGTATAATGACAATAAAGGCATTCTGATTCTGATTGCACACTGCTAGCTTGGCGCTACATCTGTGCCAGCAGTTGTTGATGGGGGGAGGGGGTAGGCAGGGCGTTTGGTTCTATCACCAAGGCGAGGCGCCCTGCTTGTATAAAGGTAGGGGGAACACTGTTATGTGTTGATGTATTATTATAAATACTACCCTGTTTGAATATTTACTGCAACAGTTATTACGTTAGAGGTTAGGGTTCAGACAGAACTGCTGCAGAACAATCATGATTTTTACAGAAACTCTCAACAGAAACAAACGTCACACAGCGCTCTGTGGCGTCCGCTGTCACAAACTGTTGATTAATCTGATTGAGAAATAAGATTAATAACATGCAGTTATACTAGACTCAACGTCTTCACAGGAACATCCTTCTACAGTGGTGATAAACATAAAAACGGCAGATGTTTGTTCGCTAACAGAAAGAACATTTTGCTCTTGTGTATACTCCTGTAGACACAGTGTCACGTCACCTGCTGCCAGTCTGTGTCAATAACATCTGGTAAGTGTCCAAGTGTTAATGTACTTCCAATTTAACCAGTCATCTTGTTTAAGCCCTGTGTAGATCAACGCCACAAATACTGATGTTAATAGTCTAATTCCAGCTGTTGTGACAGACAGCTGAACGAAGCAGCAGCAGCACATCTGTGCCTTGAATTCTCTTACGTTCTGTCGTCTTACATAACAGCCTTCAGAGAGATGAACATATCTGTGCTGACAAGGAGGCGTTTCACCACAGAACATACCGAGGGAGACCTTTGAGTCTCAACTGCGTCGCCTGCTCAAATCAAACTAGGAGGGAGGAAAATCTCTTTCCAGTGTCACGATGAATCAGTGTTCAGATTTGGGCCGGTCATCTTTGCATGACATTAGTCTTCTGTGAGGAAATGAAAATGTTGACTCGCTGACAGTCAGCGGAATAAATTAATCAGAAATGTTTCAAAGAAAGCACGCAGGCAACAATCAGTAAATAAAACAAGAAGCTGCTTAACTATAATTAAATAATGCAATAAAACAGGCGGACTGCCTAACTTGTTGCATTCTGCCTTGGATCAAATATCGCCCTCTTGAAAAACACATTGTGTTTTAAAAACCAAAGAGGAAACAATAAGTGTGATCTGATCCACAAAATACACACTGAATTGTAATAAATGACAGCAGAGAATAATTTAAAGGCTCGGAAGCATCTCGATGGTCGTCAGAGGTTAGTTTTGATAAATTACACTTTCAGCAAGTTTTACTTAAAAAAAATAGTCTGCTTTGATTACAAGCGTATAAGATACGAGACAAATCTTAAAGTTTCAACATAGTTTTTATATGTGTGGACACATTTTTGTGGTGTTTATGCCATTAATCAGGACAACACGCTTAAATCTCAAACAGGTGGAGATAATCCAGCAATTAGTTTTTTTGTTCGTTCTAAAAAAAAGACACATTTGAGCCGTTTGTGTTCTTGATTGACCCAACGAGTTGTTCAAATCTGAAGGTCAGATAATTTTCTCACTCCACTCTTTGTTGTATTTTTTATTCAACTCATTGTCCTATACTTGAGCTCATGAAGATAGAAACACACTGAAATACATGAATAGCTTTACTTTATTAAACGTACCGGTATATCATCATGCATTCATTCAACCTTTATTTAAACAAGTTAGTCTCATTGAGTCACAAGAACTCTTTTACAAGAGAGACCTGCTTTAAACAAACCACAGATGAGGTACACACAATAAACAGCCATAAAATGAATATAAAATAAAAAAGTAAGTAAAACTAGTGATATAAAACAAAATAAAAACAAGCTACATTATGAAACAAGGTAAAATACTAAAAGCAGGAACATGTCTGCCTTGATTTTTGCCATGAATGTATCAGATGTTTAAATCCCTTAGAGAGGTCGAGAGCTTCAGATCTTTTTGAAGATATTCCAGGAAACAGGAGCGGAGTAGGAGAAGGTCTTTTTGCCAAGTTCAATTCGCACTGAGGGGATCCTGCAGGAAATGATGTCCTGAGAGCGCACGTTGTAGCTGCACTGACGACATGACATGTATGAGGAGATGTATGAAGGCAGCAGACCAAGAAGTGATTTAAAGATGAAAATGTACCAGTGAGAGAGTCTGTATGAAGTTAATGGTGACCAGTTAACCAGTGAATACTGGGTGCAGTGATGGTACGGTAGTTACAGCCAGTTATGAATCTTAGCCTGCCTTGGTAGACAGCATCCAACATCTGCAAGGTGCTTGTAGGAGCGTTCATATAAATAATGTCACCGTAATCAACGGCCAGTAGGAATGTAGCAGCTACAAGGCGTTTCTGGCAACAACAACTGTGTCATCAGCATAGAAATGCAAGGATGCGTCAGGAATGTTCTGACCTACATTACTTATGTAAATTGTAAAGAGGGTGGGTCCTAAGACTGAGCCTTGTGGTACACCATTATTGACAGTTAAATAACTAGAAGTACCATTAGGTTGAACACATTGCTTTCAGCCTGATAATTAGAAAACTAACTGACAGTGTGATCTGAGAAACCAATGCCTGAGAGCTAATGGCATAAGATGTCATGATCTACAGTATCAAAAGCTTTAGACAGGTCTAAATAAAGTGCAGCACAATAGTCCTTAGCATAACGTGAAAAAAGGAGATGAGTATTCTGTGACGAGCTTCCCACCAGTCCAAAGATATCGATTGCAAACCTGGCTCCACCACTACGGTGATAAAATTATCAAGTGCAGTAATCCTTTCAAGCAGACCTGAACTAAGTACTTTACATGTTTACTTAGTCTAACCAGAGCTCTGCTACCACTGGCTGGAGTCAAATTCCTGGAAATATTTGTGAATCAAATGCTAAAGATGATTTTGAGCAGAAAAGCCCTAAATTTTCACTGCCTTCCCTTCACATGAGCATAGATAGTTTCAGTAACAGCTGGGAAATCCCAATATCCAAATCTGATTTGAGGTTTCCTCTTTCAAAGATCATCAAGAAATCGTCATTAGAATATGCTAAAATTAGAATTCAGGCCCATTTTATGGGGCTTATCCCAAGTAGAAAGACAAATCAAGCCACATCCATGGAACCACTCGAGATATCCGGATAATCCAGGTATCAAAGTGTAGCTTATAAAGCCACAAATCTGAAATGTTCTTAATTTATTTTGACCAAATCTGTCTGACCTATACCCTGATTTGATGTCACGAGTCACATATATGTCGAGTGTAACATTACTTCAGTGTTTAGACATGAAAAACTGATTTTTGGTTTAGCCTAGACACTATTTCACCATTATTTAGTGCATATTAGCATATAAACATAAAATGAGTAACAAAGAGTGGTAGACTAATGCATAATTCATTTTCATCTTTAAATCACTTCTTGGTCTGTTGCCTTCATACATCTCCTCCTACATGTCTCTGTGTGAGTGCAGCTACAGCGTGCGCTCTCAGGACATTATTACCTGCAGTGTTCTCTCAATGAGGACTGAACTAGACAAAAGAACCTTCTCCTGCTCCGCTCCTGTTTCCTGGAATATCTTGTAAAAAGACTTGAAGCTCTCGACCTTTGACCTCTCTAAGTGGTTTTCAGAATCTGTTGGACTCCTGGCAGGGACCAATGCAGACATGTTCCTGTTTTTAGTTTTCTACATTCGCCTTAGAATCCAGCTGTTTTTTGTTACTTTTTTTTTTTTTAGCCATCCTATTTGTTAAAAAAAAAAAAACAATTGTATGACTTTTTATAAGTTTATTGTTGTCGCTGTTGTTCATTGTTGTCATCGTTCTTTGTTGAAATCAGGTCTCTCTTGTAAAAGAGTCCTCGAGGCTCAATGGGATTTACCTGTCTCAATAAAGGTTGAATGAAAAAATAATATTTAATAAAATACGCAGCTAATATTGATGTTATATTTTCATTTAGCTAGTATAAGATGACTCTTGTTATCTGTTTTATAGTAATTATAGCAGACTGGTCAATAGAGAACAATGATGATAGCAGTGTATTAGACTAGTGTTCCCGAAGAAAAACAGGATAAATCCAAGACCACACTCTTTTAAGAGCAGGTTCCTATAATTAGAACAGCAAATGGCAGATCCTCAGATATTTATGGTCTTCTGCCATGATGACCCGTAGCACATAGCAAACTAGCAGCACATATCTTTGCCTCATTAGCACAAACCATCAAACTGTGGTTGTCCCTCCAAGTGCATTTCTAGCTCAGTGATTGAGATCTTCTGTCAGGTTGTATCTTTAGTGCTGCCCTTTTAAAAACGGCAGATTAACACGGCGCTTGATTGAAGCGGATTCTCGAGAATTGACACAGGAAATAAACTGTAAGTCACTCAGAGGACGGTGAACCTCCGACTGCTGTTTATTAATGGAACCTAGTTAGGTTCAGGCAGAGAAGATCTAATGAAATGAACTTTGTAGTGGTACACACCTCCAGCAGAAGACGCACTTGTTAGCGCAGGCCAGGCTGGGGGTCGTCTCCATGCACCGGTGGGACTCGATACCGTAGAAAGTGTGCTTGTAACAACCTCCTCTCCCTCTCAACATGGACTGATCAACAAAGACAGAGGTTTCATTGCGATTCATGCATCAAATTAATCAACATTTCCTGAAAAAGTAAAGAAAAAATGAAATTATTCATTAGGAAGATCCATTTCTGTCACCTTGGTCCATCGACACAGCTTGACTCCTGAGTGGCTTCCAATTAGTTTATATCCTGCCAAACAAAGTGGCAAACATCACGTGAAGAACGAAACTTACTTATGGACCCATAATATAAACATGGAAAGTAGTAAATTACATCTTCAGCAGACGTACATCAATGCCTGTCTTGTGCAAGACTTTAAACCTCAAGTGGTTTATTGTCCGGTTAAAAATAGGTTTTAAAAATAAAAAGATGAAGAAATCATAAGAGGTAAGGTCTCAAGTGTAAATTAGATTTATTTTAACTCTTATAAGACGCTCAACAGCCGTCTGCTGCGATAATAGATTTTCAGACTCCCGCTCTGGACTCGTACTGCGCCAACTCTACAGATAAACCAGTCCTCCATAAAAAACTGAAAAATAATGTTACCTGGGCAGACGCACAATCTCTTACACAAAAGATGATTCCTTTTATGGGAATAACTAAACTGACTTATCTTTTAGATTCTTTAAGTATCTAATTTTAAGTGTTTTAGCATCTCGAGGTGACTGCTATTTTAATTAACTTTATCCTAACAGCACAACACAACACAGCCGTTTAAAAATCTGAATTAACTCATATTCTCTTTGGTTCTTCTCTTGAAAACGAGCACAAGCTCGGAGCTTTGCTGATGGCAGCGATTTGTGCAAACTTTGCTGGACGCGGTGCAAGAGCTTGAGCAGCGTGTGGCTTCTGCCTGCATGTCATGCCAGAAAGAGACCTTCCAGGAAACACGGAATACGGTGGAAAATAACGCCAAAAGCCTTCATTCTCCTCTTCTTAAATAAAACGAGCCACCTGCCAGGACGGACTGCGGCCAACAGAACACATGAAACAGGTCATCGTTTGGTCAAACGGGGTGAAGTCCTGCTGAGACTCCTATTTATAGTCTGTTGTGTAAGCGAACGGTGGGGGTGTTGGCTGGAAATGCTACACTAATGAGAGTACTACTACACTGAATCCCTGTCTTCTTCACCCTCCAGCTAGTTTTTGCAAACTCTTTATATTTGATCTTGAATTTAAGGCCATCTTCTCCTCACCTTGCTTTGTCAGTGCTTCTCTCAGAGCAGGAGTGATCATTTCTCTTCTTTCCTCTCCGTCCTCAATCTTGTTCACGCCGTTCAGTTTGGACAGCTTCACCATCTGACCTTCTTCGTCTTCCTCCACCTTGCTCTGAGAAACAATACTTTCAATTAGGTACTCTTTATACAACAAAAATATCCCCACAAAAATACCAACTATTGTGTGATAATTTCATCTCTCGTTTGTGAAAGATGAAGCACGATACAGTGCCACTGATCACATTCATTAAAGACAGATTAGCTGCAACAATCAATACTTTATGGAAAGATTCAGTACTCAGTTGTGATAAGATCTGATTCAGAATGAGTTTGATTCAACATACTGAGATTTTGTCCATCATCGGGTCCATTTTTTATATTTAAATAATGGCCGCACACAAACAGGTCTTCATCCATCCATTATCTTCCGCTTGTTCCGAAGTCGGGTTGCGGGGGCAGCACCTTGAGCAGGGAAGCCCAGACATCTCTTTCCACAGCCACCTGTTCTAGGAGGATTCCAAGGAGTTCCCAGACCAACCGAGAGACATAGTCTCTCCAGCGTGTCCTGGGTCTTCCCTGGGGTCTCCTCCCAGTCGGACATGCCCGAAGCACCTCCCTAGGGAGGCGTCCAGGGAACATCCTTACCAGATGCCTGAACCACCTCAACTGGCTCCTCTCGATGTGGAGGAGCAGCGGTTCTACTCCGAGTCTCTCCCGGATAACTGAGCTTCTCACCCTGTCTCTAAGGGAGAGTCCAGCTACTCTGCAGAGGAAACTCATTTCAACCGCCTGTATCCACAATCTCATTCTTTCGGTCACTACCCAGAGCTCATGACCATAGGTGAGGGTAGGAACGTAGACCGACCGGTAAACAGAGAGTTTTGCCTTACAGCTCAGCTCTCTCTTCACCACAACGGACCGGACCATAACAAACAAACAGGTCTTGTTTTTTTAAATTACAAAAGAGAAAATCTGACCCACAGTTAACCTAAAATACACAAAAATTAGATGCAAATGTAAAAACATGCAATGCCAGGCAGTAAATGAGCAACACACACTCTTCTCAGTAACTCAACATCTCCATCTTCTACCTGTGGTCAGGTCGCAAAGGCAATGGTTCAAGGCGAGAAACCCACCCAGACCTCCATCCCCCCAGAGACCATCTCTAGTTCCTCCTGGGGATCTCGAGGTGTTCCCAGGCCAGAGAGGATACACAATCCCTCCAGTTAGTTCTGGGTCTGCATCCAGACTCTTACCAGGCTGGAAAACCTCCAAATGAAGGCATCCTAATCTGATGAACCACCTTAGCTGACTCCTCTCGATGCGAAGAAGCAGCAACCCAACTCTGAGGACAAAGCACTTCACCCGTTCTCTAAGGCTAAGCCCGGCCTACGACCCTACGAAGGAAGATCAATTCAGCCGCTTGTATTGAAGAACACGTTTAAAAAAAAAAAAAATGTCTAAACAACCCAACGCCTTTACAAGCAGTGGTTTTAGGTTGGGTTAACGTATTATCCATAATCGAGTTGCAGGGACAGCAGGTCGTGGAGGGCAACCCAGACCTCTCTCTCCCCATTGACACCCTCAAGCTCCTCCTGTTGGATTCCAAGGTGTTTCCAATTCAGAGGGGATACATAAGCCCTCCTGCAAGTTCTGGATCTGATTTGGGTTTTCCTCCCAGTGGGACCTGCCTGTAAAACCTCTAGAGATAGGTATTGCTGCTCAGGATCTGGTATTTCTGGTCATGATCCAGACCTCATGACCACAGTTGAGGGTTGGAACATAGATGAATCAGTAAATCCAGAGCTTTACCTTTTGACTCAACTCTTTCTTCACTATAACAGACTGGAGTAAGACATCCAGATACTTGAACTCCATCTGAAGCAAAATGACTCCCCTGAACCCAGCGGGGGCACTCCACAGGTTTTCAGTTGAGAACCACGGCCTCAGATTTAGAGGAACTGACTCTGATCCCAACTGCTTCACACTCAGCTGTGAACCATCCCACTTCAAGCTGCAGGTCTTGGTCAGAAGACACAGCTCCTGCTTAGATGATACAGGGCACCATGCAAGCTGGGCGACAGGTGAGGAAGGGCCCCTGGCTGTGCCAATTCCTGGCAACATAAACTATCTCTAGTAACTCAACAGTAATTTTATTTTATACACATTTATAAACAAAAAAACATAATAAGTAAATGCATCAAAGTTTAATCCCAAAATTGCATTGGTGCCTTGCTATTAATCCAACAGCATTGTGCTTATTACACATTCAACAGTAATACGTTACTTCAACAGAGAAGTCATGTGACAGTGATTGTGTGAGGATGAGTAGAAATAAGCAGAAGAAGCTAAAAAAAATGTACAAAAAAGCTTAAATTTGTTTTAAAAATTGTCAAAAAACTGAAATCAGGAAGAAAAAAAAATAGCTGAAAAAGCAAAAGTACATTCTTGGACTGTGAGGTCTCAGTCTCCAATGGAGAACATTTGGAAATTATCCTGACTGGGCCTTCAAACCAAGCAGGACTACAGTCAGCCATCAGGTGAAAAAGAAGAACCCAGACCAGTGGTCATTCCGTATGTTGAGGGAGTTTTTCCTTTCCACTGTTGCCATTGTGCTTGCTCAGGATGGGAGACTGCGACGAAGTGAAGATTCAACATGTCTACAGGCTTCCTTAGATAGAGAATTTTACTAATTGGCTTTTCTATGTATGTGAATGTTCCTGTAAAGTGCCCTGAGACAACTTTGTTGTGATTTGGCGCTATAGAAATAAACTGAATTGAAGTGAATTTTTGAGGGAGTTTCTGAGAAACTGAGACGTTTATTTTCTAAACAACGTTCCAGTGACTTTCAAACCCCAAAATACATTACGGCAAAAACTGGTTCATCCCAAAGATCCAGTCCCCCGGCACAAACAGAGTAATGTTGTGTATGCTGTTCAGTGTCAGGAGGGTGATCAGTCTTACATCGGGGAAACTAAACAGCCACTGGCCAAAAGGATGGACCAGCACAAAAGATCAACATCATCAGGCCAGGACTCTGAGGTCTACACTCATCTCCAGGCCAGCGGTCACTCTTTCAAGGATGAAGATGTTCACATCCTGGACAGAGAGGAACGATGGTTTGAGAGAGGAGTAAAGGAGGCCATCTTTGTGAAAAGAAACCGTCCATCATTAAACAGGGGTGGAGCCTCCGGGTTCAACTGTCCCCCTCTTACAATGCTGTGATTGCTAGTATCACTCAGCCCTCTGTGAACAGTAAACAGCCAACAGGGTGCTAATGATCTATGTTTAGACAGATGGTTCTCCTTTTCCATATGAACTAGTTCTGGCTGTTACCAGCAAACTGGTTGATCCACTACGAGAAGGTTCTGCAGACTGAAGGGGACGACATACTCCATCTGAAGCCGAGAAGGCAACGTGTGGTGATCTACTTGGATGTTCATCTTCGCACACACCTTTTCTACACACACTTTGTCCATGAGACAAAGATGCAGAGCTCCTGGGAAACCCCTCCCGCTGCAGTATACGTCACTGCACAGGCTTCTTTCCACCAGAGTCTCTACTCCGTCCCTGCAGCTGCCGTGTGGCCACAGATCCACCATGAAGAAAGGACCACACTTTTCAGCAGACAAACTCCTCCTTACATGACGTCTGCACAATCTCCATCCAGGAGTTTTTGTCCATTTAACTAATTTAGTGTGTTTGAAGAGTCGTACAGCTGAATGTCCGAGTGCATTTCCGCATTGACGAACACGCCCACAAACTTCTGACCAATCACACAGTACTTGGCGCATACGCCTGTGAGAAAAAGTTCGGCCCGGGCCTTGTGTCGAGAACGGACGGGCGAAGCTGCTCTGCAAACAAAATGACATAATTTTCGTCACACAACTACGACAATGAGAGGCGACTTCAGCACTTCAGATGGAGTACGCAGGGTCCTTGAGTTGATTGCAGCTCCTCAGACTGAAGAAGCCTTTTGGATAAAAGATTAAACATTTCAACAAGAAGAATCCATCCAGAGGCCCTGACTCTACCCTGTTAGATGTTCCATTTATTGTTGCTGAAGCTGCTGAATCCCACTTGTTTCACAGATCAACACCTCCTCTAAAGCGAGGACTATGTTACTACTCACTCAGAAATGTGCAGTGTGCACAAAGGCCAAATCAATTAAACCATGGAAAATACTGCAGAAGAACTACAGCCACATATTGCTTTTTCAGAAAGATGTGATGGACGACCTGCCTTTCGGATTAACGGTGACAACTTCACCCAATTACTGAGCAGCTGCCGCTTCCTTAGCCGCTCCGAAGGGATTTATATGTCACTGTGTCAGCACAGAAGAAGCTGATATTGTGTCAGCAAACATGGACAAATGTTCATATTATAGAAGGATGTGGAGCAGAAACAGGAGTCACTGACTCCTGGGTGGCTTCAGGGAACCGTCTCTGGTGGTTTCATGGAGCTAAATGGTCCGCGGGTAAATAAGCTCGTTAAATCAGAAAGAACATTTTCACTTTAAACCTATGAAACCTTTTATTGTTACCCTTCCTATCTCAGACAAAAGTCCTCTTGATGTTCAAGTTTGAAGACATTATTCTCCAGAGCACAAATCTTTGTATAGTGTTACATAACATTTTACCTCCAACGATGCTGTTTTCTTTGTAAGTTTGTACAATTTATGAAATGTTTGAAATAAAAGACACGTTTCAGTTCCTCTAAAGGTATTCAAGAAACTGTGCATACAGTAACTGTTGCCCAAGTTCTTCACCAGTCTGACCTTCATGGCAGAGGCAAAGAAAAAGCTGCTGTTGAAGAAAACTCAGATTAAATCCGACCCTTCTTAGATGTCCTGGTGGTCCTGAGGTCCTCCAGGAGGACCATGTCAATACTGAACTTTAGTGCAGACACCTGACCAGCATAGTCCACTGCAGATCAGAGCTCCTGAACTCAAACCATTCCCCAGCCTCAGCCTCCCAGTAGCTTGGATTACATGCACGCTACACCACACTCGATCCTACTTAGCTTCCAAGATAAGACGAGATCGGGCGTGGTCAAGGTTCAAGGAGACTTTATTGTCATATGACATATGTGGTGCATGAGGTGGAACGAAAT